GGGGGAGACGGGGGGAACTGGGGAGTGGGGGGGAGCTTCCCTCCTGCTGCTGCTTCCTCCTGACTCTGGACATGCGCTCCCTCGAAGCTGCCGCCGTTGCCTGGAGACGGGAATAACAAACTGCAGCCGAGAGAACACAACGCTGCTGGGGGGAAAGGCTGCTTCGCTCAGGCGTGGAGCCGTCTTGGGGGTGGTGAGTGTTAACGCGGGGAGGGGCAGAGCTCGTAGTGGGAAAGGCCAGAAGAGGGAAGCACTTCCCGGCGGGCAGGCGGACCGGCTCTGCAGAAGCAGCGGGTGAACTCCAGAGACAGAGGCCCCTCAAGCTCCCTGAGGCCAGCGCGACAACCGTTCTCCTTCCGCCCCTCCCTTCCCGAAGCTAGGCTTAGTTTGCCACCAAGGTTTCTCCCCCCTCCCCCCCCTCAGCTGTGGCGGTGGCGAGGCCTCGGCGGGCAGCCAAGCTTTCTGTCCCCCTCACCTCCCCCAGCAGTGGCATCGAGGCCGGAGCTCCCCTCGGCAAACTATCTCCTTCGCCCCATGGACGGCGGTGGTGGCACCCAGGGATTTGTGGCTTACAGCCGCAAGCCGGCCAAGCCTTCCCCCCCACACCCTCCCCTTTTTTGCTGACGGCGGAAGCGAAGCCATTCCAAGAGATTTCCCGGCGCATGCGCAGGGAGTGCTCTTTTCGTTTTGGGGGGATTTTAATATCCCCCCGGTAGTTTTTTTAAGTTTTCAGATTTTTGTGCACACCTGGAGACTACCCCAAGTGTGCACAAAAATCTCCCTCCCCCCCAGGTGCCCTCGATGCGCGGATTTAGGTATCCGCACGCACGGGGGCACCGCTATTAGATATATAGATTTTTAAAACTTTTGGTTTTAGCAAATGTTAACTGTCCTCTTACAAAGAAAGAGTATCCTCCATTATTGGAACATCTTTATTGTCAGAATCCAGTGTCCCTGCATTGTGGATCATGTAAAATTTATCCTAGATTTGTTTTGGATGATCACCTGGTAATTTGCACCATGTATTTCATTGATGTATCTCTGGAAGTTTCTCACTGGTCATGAGTTCAGGAAGTCTAGGAAAACAGAACTGAAAATCTCCCATGTGAGACAAATCATGCCTTGCTATGGGAGGAGAGTTTTGCAGATAAGAACAAAGACAGCCATCCTAAATATTCCAAGAGTTTTCTTGGCCTTGAAATAGGGTCCTAATTTGCAGTGTAGCCTGAGTCTTCTAGAAATCAGATAGTTCTGGGGGGGAAATGTTTTTAAAGGTGCTTCACTAGAAGTGCCCCCAAGGGGCTGTATTTTCTCCATAAGATATATAAGTAAATGGAAAGAAGCAACTGTTCCTGGAAAAGATGGAGTTAATGAGGTGTAGCAGCAACACTGCTGAGTAAACAGGAGGGTTTTCGTACTTAAAGCCCACAATCCCTCAAACAGAAGGAGAAATCAATCTTCATAAAGGCTGCACATGGCATGAATTAACCAGTGTTTGTTTCTGTGAGATGAGTTAGATTCTCTTATTAAGGCAAGTTTCTCAAACTTTTTTTTTTGCAACTTCTTTAACAACCCGATCCACAACCACACCATGTCATATCATATGCTGGCATCCTTCAGTCACAGCGAGCTGGAGCCATATCTAGATTGGGAGACAATAGCAGTCCAGCTGCCATACAACAATCAGCGATGCTGCTGTGTTTGTTGGGAGCAATCATGGAAACCTTTTCTAATGTGTTGTCTGTCGGCCCACAGATACTTGCTTGAGTTCTCTATGCTGGTGAAGAGGAAGGCAGTGACACTACAGCAGGGAAGTGCATGTGCCTTTAAAGTTATTTCTTTGTAGCAATGGCAAGAACAAGATGTCTCTGTGTGCACACACAAGTGAAACAGAGGGTTACTTAACAGCCTTTAGCAGTGTCTTTCATTTTCAATGTATCTTCCTTCCTCAGGAGTATGAATTCACGGTGCTGCCCAACGCCTACATGATTCACATGCCGCATGCTCCTAGCTTCGACATTACCAAATTCCGCTCCAACAAGCAATACCGTATCTGTCTCAAGACCCTCAAGGAGGAGTTTTAGCAGGATATGTCACGCCGCTACGGTTTTGCAGCACTGAAATATCTCACGGCAGAGAACAATAGCTAGCACCACTGGGACTGTTACAAAAAATAAATAAATCCAAGACTGAAAGAAGGAGCCATTTAAAGTGTGCGGCACAGTTCTTTGGCCTGGAACTGAGAGACACCTTTGTTTTGTTTTTGTTTGTTTTTAAGCCAGTTCTAACAGTAGGAATTTGGAACAAGATGTCTCCAGACTGTGCCCCCAAGCCACCGCCCGTCATCTACTCCCAGGCCTTTGGTTTTATTGCCCACAGAGTGTGAGTAAATGGTGTGTGGGGGGGGAGCAGTGTCCACATCCATTGATAGCTCACAGGGTGGTAGACATTACCTGGGGAGGGGAGTGAATATTTGTCCTTAAAAATTGCACAGCAAAAATGGATCTTCTGAAGTATGGGCTTTCATGTCGTTACTTAATAATTCTACATTTTGTTTAATCTTTAAAAGAAGATCTTCAGACTGTGAATTTTTTTTTAAAGCCCCATACTTTTGTTGACCACCTACAGAGGAGCATTCTAGAGTAGGATGAACCAGATTTTTGCTGTCAAATGAAGAGAGAGGTACATTTAACATACAGACTGTTGTGGCATAGTATATAAAGAAAATACTCAGTGTTACCGGTGCAGGCATTTCTGTGGCATCACTTGCTTGTTTCTCTTTACTGCCACAATAAGACGCACCTTTCCTCTGGCTCCCCACTGCTCCCATTTCCTTTGGCCATGTCCCACCTTTTCAGCCCAGATGGCAACCTTTGGCACTTCATGTTCATCCCCAGCTCTTGTAATTCACCCAAGAAATTTTTTGTTTTTACTGTGCACTGGAAGCACCTGTCAGTTTAAGCTCTGCTTTTGCCTGAGAGATTCATTCAGGTGTCTCCAGTGCAATAAATGGCCAAGTTGGAGTTGTTGTCTTTTTTTAAGTCAATGTTCAGTATTTGCCATACAGAGGTCATTTTTTTTTCTATCGGGGGGGGGAATCACAGTCTATTGGCCGTTCCACCGCACACCCACCTGTGAAGGCCTCTGTGCCTTTGGCTGTTACGTGGACATCTGCAGCAACCGTGGGACTGAAACACAACCACTAGGCCTCAGTAGCAACAAGGTGCTACTACAGACTCTTAAGAACTACTTCAATAAAGGACTTTATTTAAAAAAGGAACAAAACTAAAAAAGGAATTAACTCCCCATTTGAGTTGGGGGGAGAGAGAATGTTTTGGGGAGTTGTGGTCATGTTTGCTTGAATGCGAGCTGGTTCGGTTCACAGGCGGAGCATAGGCATGGAGAAGAACAGACAAAAAAAATACACAGATCCGGACACTGGACATTTTATTATTTTCTTTATTTCTTCAGTATTAATGTTGTGTTTACATGGATGGAGGAGATGAGGTTTAATGCACTACCCTGATTTGGGGCTACTTGTATTTGGTTGCAAATGTTATTGAGAGAGCAGGATTTGAATAAACAAGAAACATGTCTCTCTTCCTTCCCCCTAACCACTAAGAGTCTTGCTGCTGCTTACATTCTGTATAAATCACTGTATTTTCCGGTCTTGTTCCTCTACCAGCCACTGGCTGTCCCATATTGCCCCTTATGCTTTAAGCAGTACTTCTTGCCTAGGAGTAGTGGATAGTGATGATATTCTGAAACGTATGAACTAGAAGCTGGTTTGTGAAGACTGTATTTAGGAAAGTGAACCTGCATTCCCAAACAAGTCCGAGAGCCTGGGTGAATCTTCTGTTAAATGCACACCTGTTACATTTCGGCTTTGCTTCTCTTCCCTGCAGAGAGATCCATGAAGCCCAAGGGACCTTCTGGTGTCGACATACTTTAACTTCTAGTGAAAAGCCTACATCCGTCACCAATAAGTGGCAGATAAATCGTTCGCACATATATCAAAGAATTGGTTTTGGAATGAGGTATATGGTCCCATTCAGAACATGGCTTTACATAATTTGTGTGGAAAAGTGAGACATTGGTGAGAAACTGAGCAAAAACTAAATCTGTCTCAGTCTGACCACCTTGTGCAGGCAGCTGTCCACAACAAAATATGATTGAGGATTAGAATCTTTAATTATATAAGCAAGGCCTGAATTAATAACCATTTATTTGATGACATGTTTCAGTGAATTGGGGAGATTAACACTATAGGACTGCTCAAGTGGGAAAATCTTTAGCCTGCTGGAATAAGAAGATTTTGCTTCAAAAATGCCTTTTCTCAAATAAAAGAACATGAAGATCAAATGAAGACACCACTCTGTATACCATATCAGTATCCTGTGACAAGGGGGTCCAGCCTGCTGGCACTATTGGGAACAAGCCTCCACCCATCTCTTTATGCTGTTAGTATTAGCAAGGTGATTTGCTTAACGTCATAGTTGAAGAACATTGACTGAGAAACAAGAAGCAGAATACAGTCCAGTTCTCCATTGTCAAACTATTGATTAAACTCACAAATAAAAAAGCGCAAGAAGAAAAAGAGTTGGATTTATACCCCACCCTTCACCCAGAGTCTCAGAGCAGCTTACAATCACCTTCCCTTCCTGTGAGGTAGATGGGGCTGAGGTAGCTCTGAGAGAACTGTGACTGACCCAAGGTCACCCAGCTGGCTGCAGTGGAGGAGTGGGGAATCAAACCCGGTTCTCCAGATTAGAGGCCACTGCTCTTAACCACTACACCAAACTGGGTCTCTTAAATGAAGAGCATCGCATAATTCACAGATGATGCTCGTTTCAGAGGGTAGCCATATTGGTCTGCAGTAGAACAACTAGATTCAAGTCCAGTAACACTTTGGAGACCAGTACAAAGTTTGTGTCCAACGGCACCTTTAAGACCAACAAAGTTGTATTCACGGTATAAGCTTTCATGTGCAAGCACACTTCCTCAGATACATGAAAGCTTATACTGTGAATACAACTTTGTTGGTCTTAAAGGTGCCAATGGACACAAACTTTGTACTGCTCCTTCAGACCAACATGGTTACCCCACCAGAATCTACCTTGGAGACCAGTAGGGTTTTTTAGGTATAAGCTTTCGAGAGTCAAAGCAGGGAGCTTTGACTCTTGAAAGCTTATACCCTCAAAATCTTATTGGTCTTTAGGATGCAACTGGAACCAAATCTTGCTGTTCACAGACGATGAAAGACGGGTTTCTGCCTTTTAAAGAAAACTGCCATTTATCATAAATATAGCATTGAATATAAATTATATAAAGAGTAGTTGTGTTTTAAAAGTTTACATTTTCAACTTCATTGTTCTGATTGGCCTGACTCTGAATTGGCTTGGTATTTGCAGGTGGTCAGAAAAAAACTTGTTTCCTGACCATGCATGATGCTGCTGCTGGGCGCGTGCATCTTATCATATTGCCCCTGGGTATTGTACTTTCCAGGACCACGCATCATGGAGAACGACTCGGAAGTTTATCCACTACCACCTATGCCAAACTAAACAGATCTTGGAGCAATACTAGGACCAGCTAGAAAACAACCCAGTTAAACATTTGCAAGAGAACTGATCCAACAAAAAGCTTGGTTGGATGGCTTGATCACATGATTCATCACAATGAAGAATTTAATTGAGATAAATTATTGGTATTAAAGAAATTCTATGTACAGGGCTACAAAGTTACACAATCAGCCTGGCTGCTGACTAGGTATGAGCAGAATTTGATTTAACATTCTAAGCTGAAGAAGAACTTCAGGGGGAGCAGCGTTCAATTTATAATACATCCAGCAGTACAAGCGGGATAGATTCATGCTCTGGCCTAGGTAATTATGAACTTCAGTGATCTCTCCATTCAGAACCCTTGAAAAAGCCTTTATTGAGGATTTGCATTGTGTAAATTGAAGGCATGAGGCACTTTCAAGTGTTGTTGATTTTAATGGGAAAGGGTGAAGCATATGCTTTGTTTTTCCACTGAAGACAACAGAACTTAAAAGTGCTTCACTTTGGCTGGGACGTGTCCATAGTCCATAGTTAGTTTAATATGTAAAAGCCAGCTAATAAACTGGTTAAACAAACATCAACGTAGTGTTTTGTCCTTTTTTCCCTTCTAGCATGCAGAGCAAGCTCCTCTAATGTACTGCATTTTTACCCTGCACTTCCTGGAGTGTGTGTGTGTGGGGGGGGGAGAATATACATGCCTCCCTCTCCCACTTTAATCTGACAGCAATTTTGGGGGATGAGTTAAGCTGAGAAAAAAATAATTCATGTGGTATGCTTCATGGCTGAAAGAGAATTAGAGCTCAAGTCTAGCCCATTTCTAGTCTGACATTCTGGTGGTTGCCACATGCAGACAGATCTGTATAGTATCCCCATTGCTGTGTTAGCACAGCAGCAATAGTACTTCCACGTGGCAGGTTTTCCCATAGTCTCTCTGCTCTCCCCCATCAGTGGCTATCCCCCCACCCCTGAGCCACTGGACTTTTCCACATTTTTTTAAAAATCAACATTTAAATATCTATATACCGTTATGAAAATATGTGTAACAGGTTCTCTGAGTACCCAGCTTTCATTTTTTTAGGCAAGTCTCTAGCCTTTTCCATTCTAAAGAATTTTTCTTATATCTGTCTCAGTAACAGAGAGGCCTAGAGACCTACTGAAAGCTGAAAATTCAGAGAATCTGTTAAATGATTCTTTTAAATGTATATTGGGGTCCTTTACATCCTTGATGTGGTGCCCATGGGTGCCATGGTACCTGCCAACTAGTGTTCCCTCTAAGCCGAGTCAGTGTGAGCTGGCTCACAGTTTTTTAGCCTCCGGCTCATACATTTTTGTCTTCGCTCAGGAAGGATGGCTCCAGAGCAAACTAATTGATGCAGCAGCCAAATCGCTCGCTCACAGCTTTAATGCCTGTCGCTCACCAAGTAAAATTTTTGCTCACAAGACTCCACAGCTTAGAGGGAACATTGCCGCCAACACCTTTTCTGGTGCCCGCCAAGTGCTTTTAGACAGTGGGCGGGGATAAGGTGGGGTTTTTCCGAGCAAGGCCACTGACTAGTCACAGGAGATTTGACTGGCTTTTTAAAATACTGCTTGAGCAACACTGTGTGCCTTGAAGGTATGCCATGGCAGCCATTTTGTGGCTGGCTACGCCTCCTGTGGCAGCTATTTTCTGGCTGTGCCCACCATGTTGTGTCAGAATTCCAATGGTGCTCACAGGCTCAAAAAGGTTGGGGACCCTTGCTGTATGTCAATAGAGAGAGACAATTGCTGATTTTTAAGTGCCCCCTGGTGGCAGGGGGAGAAAGTGGCCACCACAGGACAGTGTCAACTAAAATTGTTTCCATGTGAGCAGGAAAATCCAAATGTTGCCACCTACGTGACATCCCAGATTTTTTCAAAAACGTTGCTGCAAATTGAAAATGGGGGGAGGAAATCTAGGGAAACTTCAGGAGGTACACAAATGTGCCACAATGCTGTGGAAAAGCAAGGGGGGGAAAACCTTCCCATCAGCATTGAACCCAGGGCAAATAACTCATGTGGAAATGGCCTCCAGCTGCCACACCACATTGCCTCTTATGTTTTATCTTCTAACATGACTTAACTTCATCAGCCGCTTACTTGACTGACCAATGAGAGAGTTTATTTCTCTCCACCAGAAGAGTTTTATATTACTGCTTTGCCTGATAATAAATGCATTCAGCAGCGCTGGACCCCAGCTAACATGCTTCAGGCCATGTTGAAAATTGACTCTGCCAACTCTTAGCTAGTGTTTAATAAACCATGACAGTAATTTACTCTTCCACCCTTTGAATAATTAGTTTTCATATATATTCCTGCAAAGAAGCTAGTAAAATCGACTGCACAGCAGACGATTCTTTCTTACTACAGACAGCATCTGCTTCTCCTGGACAAAAAAGGTAGCCATTTGCCATTGTTGGCAATGAAGAATAAGAAGGGTTTTAAAAAAACAACTAATACAATGCAGTACAACAAGAAAAAATTGACCGATTTCACACAAAAAAAACAGGATCACGAAACCGCAGGGAAAATCGGGCGGCCGTGCGGCTTCGACTGGGAAATTGACCAACAGAAGCGGGGCAAAGGGAGGTGCGACCTCAGCACAGGTCTTGTGTGAAATCGGTTCTGTAAATAAAGGATACAAAACAACTGAAGTTAAATGTTTCTTGAGTGCCATTGATTTCAACAGAAAGCATTAATTAACACTTCCAATGTAGTCAAATGGACTTAGAAATGATAACAGTAATATTTTTAATGCCAAACAATCAATAATGCAGATAATGACAGACCCTGGCTGGTAAAAACAGATTGGGGAATGCACAAGAAGAAAAGGTCTGTGGCAGCAAGATAAAGGAATCTTTCTGTCTGCACCCGTATGGCACCTGGCCAGAGGAAGGAACTGCTGGTCTGCTCTCTACTGTGCTTCAGCTTTACCATTCTGGATGGCCAGAGGCCGGTACCGTGGCTCCCATGAAGGGTCAGATGACACAAGGGACCAGTAGGGTTCCACCTTACTCTATAAAGCTGCTGACCTTCACTTTTTTTT